TCATTGCATTATTTTTATTCTTTATGTATTTTGGAGTAAATGACATTTAGGAAAATGGAAAATAGTAGTTTTTGTTTTCAAAAAGATTCTTATTATGATTTGCTGATTTTATGCTTAATTAGAATTATGTGGATCTTTTTAAAAGAAACTACAAAGAAAAATGCCTTGTTTTAATCTTGATAGCCCTAAGGGTATACTTTCTTAATAATATTTATCTGCAAACAAAGAAAATAAAAAGTTATAAACTTAAGATATGCAAAATGTTTTGTGATACCGTATTTCTAAGAATTCTTGTCCTCTGGATAAAATCCAAATAATACAGAAGTTGAAGTTAAGGATAAATTATAGGCTGTATCATATTCAAACTTATATCATTATAAAATGATATTTTCCTCTGATAGTATGGTATTTCTTTGCAGCCAGAACTTTTCTGTCATCTTTGCCTGGGCAGAATGTGTTCCATTTTGCAATCATAGCAATAGAAAATAGGTCAAGCAAAGCTTGGAAATATAAAATTCAAAATACTTGTCATTAGGGAATCAGTGGCAGAGTATCAGATATATGACCAGAGTCTTTAGCCAAAAGTGGATTCAGACTTTCAGAGTTATTTCACATTCTTTGATGCCATGTGCAATATATATGAACTCCTATATATGTTTATTGCAATTTGTGTGTGCATGTGTGTCAGTCTGTATGAATAGAAAGCTTATATATATGATTTTTTTAAAGATCTCAATTGAAGGGAGTCATTAAATTGAAAAATATTTTGAGATAAATGAAGGTGAATCAGCCAGGGATGATAAGCATATTGAAAAGGGAACTGTCACAATATATGATTAATTAATGTACTGTATGTCTCTCCTGAAGCTCCCTTCTTGATCTTGTTTTGGGCTGGTTAATGTTCCAGGGAATATAATAGGCCTTAACCCACTGGGGATAGATTAACCAATGTCTTCTATATATTTGTTTTATCAATTTTCATTACACATTGATGGTTTCAGAAGTGCTTCAGATACCAAGAAATCAATTACTAGGTCAACCTTTATTTATTTTTTTTATTTTTTTTTATTTATTTATTTGTTTTTCATTATTACATTATTTGCTGATTGGTGACATGTGACACCCAATCATGTCATGCTGAATAACAACATATGTTTATTTAGAGAAACCTAACATTTAAAGCAGGTTCCACTAATGTACACCCATCCTTGCCACTTTCCTGAAACTAGCATTCCTGATGAAAAAAAAACAAAAAAAAAATTCTTTCAGAATATTCAAGGCATATGGTAAACAGGTCAGATCAGGTAGGCCCCAGTAATTGACTCCTTGATTACCTAACACTTCTAGAGTAGTCTATGTGTAAACAAAATTAATCATCTAAAATCACAAAGGACAGGGCATGTATACATGCTCTCTTGGTGAAAGTGGGTTAATGGATGTCATTATTTAGATTTTCTTTATGGATGTCAGAGTATTTTTGTTCTGTAAGAAGATTTATTGTATCCTTGTTTTATGAATTTAACAAACTAATATATTGAAGTTTGCATAAGAAATGCTATAGGTAATGTTAAAGCCCTTCAGATTCAATTTTCAGTATCAAAATTGTATTGTTAGCTGATGGTTCTTATGCATCTTAAGAAAAGGAAAATGTTGAAGCAATGTTTCTATGTATAAGATATGAAAATATTTGATTTAGAGATGGATTTGATTTTCATGAAACTGATACAGGCTGTATATCCTCATTTCTATTATCATTATTATTATATATTGTTACAGTTTTTTTGTTTTTTAGTTTATATTATGCATCATCTAAGCATACTATACATAGATATTATTATTATTAAATGAAACTCATTTTTTGAGACTAGAATTTTTGAGTGTTTTGTTAGTTTATATTATGCATCACCTAAGCATACAATACGTAGATATTATTATTATTAAATGAAACTCATTTTTTGAGACTAGAAATTTTGAAAAGAATAAGTTTGTGGTAAAGTCATTTCATGTGATAAAGGGATTGCAATAAGAAACTCTTTTCTCTTGCTAATAATACTTAAGTTAAATATACATCTTGCTATTTATGCTTAACCTGTGCTTACATATTCCTTGCAGTTTTATTACAGGTAGTAGCACTGCACATCCCTGTTACATTATATAATTTTCTATCAGTCAGAAGAGAAATGTAGGAAGAATTTTCATAGAAAGAAAATAAATTGGGTATAATGAGGTTGGAGAATTAAATATTTTGAGAAAGCCATTTCCTTTATGATATTCACCGTAGTTTAAGTTTTGTGTTAGAACAAATGCAGGAAATAAGAAAAAATATTGTGCAGTGTTAGAAGATTCCCACTTTTATAAGACTTCATGCAAGTTAGAGTAGATCATTATGAGCTTGCATATGTTGGAGGCCTCTTAACTAAAACCTGGAAAAAGGTTAAGTCTAAAAATTCATTAGAGTCTAGTGACTCTTCTGAATTAATATACATCAGATAGTTACAAAAAAATCTAAGTTGCCATAAATTGTTTGCCATAAACTTGACCTTTTGTAAGCATATTTGTATGAAGATGTTGGATCCCATAATATTTTCATGTGTTTGCAATAAAATTATTGACATCAGGTATATGTGGTTCTTGTAAAATTAATGTTGAGGGCAATAAATGCAATCACAGAACTGGTGTTTCCTTGTCATTTGTCATAGACACAAGTTATACAACTGTTTTTCCTGCTATTCAGTTAAAGATAATTTAAGGAAAATGTCTTCAGTTTACAGAAAGTCAGATTAAAAATGCAAAACTAGAATTATGCTTGTAGCCAGTCAGAAAAGAATGGAAGCACAGTCTACCTTTTCTTGATATTTAAGTGTTTTCAAAAATATGTTTTATCTAATAAGTGATGCTGTAACTAAAACCAAAAAAATATATATAGTTGTATTAGGAAGACCTGACCCGCTCATGCTGAGATGGTAAAATTATATGGCATCTCTTTCTTTTTTTTTAACTAATTGTCTTTACATGTAGATGATCCACAATGCTTAACCCATTGCCGCCAAGGGATGGCATGTACGTCCATGCCATGCCCACTGTGAGTTGACTTGTTTGATTGTTTTTACACATAGATGGCTACACTTGTACTAAGTCACCAGTGAGCCAATTACGAGTACTGCCTGTCTTGCCCGTTCACCCTTTTCATCGATTTACAAAAATATTTACCGTTATCCTAATTTGCTGTTAAAAATAACACCATCTATATTTATAGCAATAGCAAGAATACGTTTTTTCCCACCAATTCAAGGAAAGGTGAAATCAGGACTAGCAGAACCATCTATGTACAGAGATATTTCACAAAAATATAAAAAATGAGTACATTTTCCCCATTTTCTATTCATTTTCCCCAGTGGCAATGGGTTAATCACCAAGGAGTAAATATTTGACCTGTTTAGATTTTTCTTTGATTTTTTGGAAAAATATATTGCTGTTAGTATTGTTAATAATATAAAATTCATAATGCCACTAGTAAAGATAACAGCAATAATATTAGATTTAGAAAAAAAATCCTAAAAACTCAAGGAAACAGGAAATTAGGTGATGTAATGCAGGCCTACTACTAATTGGCTCATTGGTAGTTGAGCATTTTGTAGACCCATGGATGTGCAACAGTATAATACATGTACCCAGCAACATTGAGTTTAAGCAATTGGATTAATGGTTAAAACAAATAAATGTGCTAGACATCAGTAATATAGCACTACAGTAAGGTATTGTGATGAAAAGGGTAAATGATTTGGATAAGTTGACAGAAGGGGATGAAGAAGAGAAAGAAAAGAAAGGGATGGGGGGTGTGGGGATTTGAATTAAGACACATTCATTGTTAACTCTTTCTGCTGGAATGTCATGACATTTATTCCATATCCATTTTGATTATGTTTAAACATAGATGGCTCTACAAGTGCTTAATCACCAGAGAGTCAGTTACTAGTCCTATCTCATCTCTTTACCCTTTTCCATGATTTTCGGATTCTTTTTCTTTTATTTTTATTTAGTAATCATATTGTTATAGTAACAAAGACAGTATTAATATTAATAGCATTATGAAAAGAAAAAAATCATGCAATGGGTAAATTGGGTGACATTACTTGATGGTTGAGCTTCTGTGTGAAACAAGACCACAAAAAAATTCAATGGACAGTACACGTAACTGCAGCCAGTATGTTGAATCAAAAACAAGGTATGCTGTTTATACAGCTGTAAATGGAAACCATGAAACCAATTAAATAATTATAAAGAAGCCATAATGTTTCCATCTTTTAAATGTGACAATTAATATTTTTCTTACAGTGATTATTTTTTAAATCTTAGTGAGATAGAGAACTGTAATATATCGTTCAAATTCAAAATTCCTGTTTTGAAGTAGGCGTGAATTATGGGAATTATCTGAATACTTAACATTAGTATTTATATGAATTAAATAGTTCTTAGTAAAAAATAATAATCAAGAACTTCTGATATCTCAAAACTAGAATGGAAGTAGCATTGAACAATAATGGAAAATTTCAACACAAGTGAGTTAGCTAACCATGATTACACACAGACATACACACACATATATACATACATACATACATACATATATATACATACATACATATATATACATACACACATATACATACATATAGCTAATATTTCCCTATCTGATATCTTGAATGTTCCATGCCTTTCTCTCTATGGCTGCTGTTTCATGTCCTTACCAGAAATCTTCTCAAGGAACATAAATGACAGTAAAAAAAATTATCTGTATTGAAAAGGGGCTTATATTCTTTCCTTATTTTCTTTCATGGCACTGATGTTTCTTCTTAACCCCAGTAATAATACCACTTCATTTTTCTTCGTTTTACATTTTTTAGCACATTATGTTCTATATGAAGAGAAAAATAGCTTCAAATACTTAAAAATTCTGAGGTATTTTGGTCCGCAATAACAGGAATAGTGAAAATTCATCAAACAATAAAGTATAATTTTATTTGAAAAAATTTCAAATTTTTTCACAATTGAAATAACTGAAACAAAAAATGTCAGCAATGAAGGCAGATAATACAGCCAGGAAACAAAAGTAAAAATAAATAAATAAAGAACATGTTCTCACCGAGTACCACCTTGCAGTATCTAATAATAAGAAATGAGTGCATAACATATGAAAGTCTTTTGAACATAAAAAAATAACGATAATGAATAAATAAATATTTCCATGCTTTTATATGACAAATGTTTTACAAAGCTTTCAGTCAGTGGCACATTACATTCTTTAACATGTATAATCTAAGTAAATACAACTGGTATTACAATAACTCTTAAAGCAATATAATTAAGATTCAGTTTTCCAAAAATGAAACATAATCGGCAAGTCTGCGCAACTGCTCTTCTGAAGGTGTGGGTGTGTGAGGCTTGGGGGCTTTTGGGACAGGAAGAATCATTCTCGTGGGTTCATCATAGCCCCAGCCTTGACCCTTAGCAGCGATTATTGCTTCCTCTACAGTCATGCCCACTAACTGTGAGAAATCTTCTGCACTAATGGAGGTATACGCTCGAGCAACCAAATCCAGTGCTCTTTGGCGGACATGATCTGAAAAAAATAAATAAATAAATAAAAAATAAATAAATAAATAAATAATAAATAAATAAATAAATAAAAATAAAAATAATATACAATTATTATTTCCAGATATCGGTCAACAGATAGCAAAAGTTATTTTATCTGGTAATCATTTTATCCATCAATTACAGACTACAGAGTTATAGTTTTTGATCTATCCTGCAGGCATATAGAAATCTGAACATTTCCATCCTTTAGAAATCAACTCAGACTAACTTTCTGAATAAGCAGTAGTACTATAAACACACCACTTCATAATGGTCTGTTGATCATCAACATGAAATATAAATATAAGAAAATATATACCATGAACAGCTTTCATAATATCCTTTACAGTTGGAGACCATTCTTGCTTCAGGGCCGTGTACACTGCTGGTAGATCACGCTGCCATAGATTCTGGCCAACTGCCCAAATAAGGCCTAACTCTGGGGTTGCTGTTTTAGTGCTAGCTGGTATTCGCTTCCACAAGAACTTTGCACCTGTTCTGAAAGCAAAAAAATAAATTAATTAATTAATCAATTTAATTTAATTAAAGTAAGAATAAGTAAATAAATGAAAAACATTAATATTACTAAATGAAATAAAAATGAAAATAAATCAATTGATGAAAAAATAACACACATACTATCAAATAATTTCACATTATTATAGGAAATATAAAGATTCCACTATCTGTAAAAGGATTTGTAATCTGCTTTGTGGTTTTATAAGTCAGAAGTAAATATTTGCAAAATGGCATACGTAAAACTGGTGTATAAAAAAAAAAACAAATAATAAACGTTTACATTATACATCAAGTAAAGACAACAGAACTGTGTGTTATTCATCAGAAGTGAAATTATCAATTCTCTTGAATTTCATAATTCAAGCTGGTACTATAATAAACAGACTTCAACTATCAAGAAATTTTAAATACCAACAAAAGCCCACTTTAGAGTTACTTACAGGTCATTTTGTAATAAGTAAATAGCTAGAAGTTGCTCATACACATGTGCTGGTGGTACTCCATTTGGTGCCTGTTGAAAAAAAATAAAGCAAATTATTGGGAAAAAAGAACCTTATTCCTTATAGTTCCCCTAAACATAGAGGTCTGGGGTACACTGAGTCTTAGAGCAGCAAATCATAACATTAAAAAAGTTATGGGGAAACATTTTGACCAAAGACCAATACAAGCAGTTTATCACATGGAGATCTTAGTTAGCAAAGCATATTGACTAAAAAATAAAACCAACCAAAAAAGAAAATGGACACATTCATTCCTCATTAATAAATATATCTGTATAACAATCAACAAATAGTGAACAACTTTTAACAATCATATTGGCTGCAAGAACTAAATGTTGAGCAAAGCTTGCTTTCATAGATCTTACAATGGAACAACTATTTTTGTGAAGATGTAGATTTATAGATTAGTAATACTGAGTGAACATTATTAAGGAAAAACAACATTCACAAAAAAATATTGGTGTTAGGTTATTTGGATATTTTTATGTAAAACCTAATGTTTGATTCATGTCCTTGAAAGAAAAGAAAGAAAGATTGGATTTGATATAAGACAAGAGATGACACTAGGTTACAAGTGGAAAATGAACACTAATCATTAACACATAATCGTTCTAAAAAAAAGTTATTCACTGAAGATATTTATGACTTTGGTATACACAGGACAATGACAATCCACCACATACATATGTGGTGGATTCTTTGACATCCTTGGTAGGGTAGGGGGCAGTACTTGACTATATACAGACCAATTCTGTGTATATTATTCCATGTATTACCCCACTACTATAACCCATTGATACCCCTATCATCAATATCAGTAATATGATAATGTAACTGTATAAGGGTACTGCGATGGCTGTTTTATACTGTTTTATACAAACAATGAAACCATAGCACTAGTAAATACAATAAGAATACTAACAATAATAATGATGACAACACAAACGTTAATAATAATGGTTACAATATGATATCAGCATTCAACACCAATAAGAATGATAATAACTAAATGATCGTTTTCATTATAACACATACAGTATACCAAACTTACCAAACTCAAGTTTAACCGCTACGCTTAAAAGTACAGCTTAAACTATCTATACAGACCTATTAACTTAATACAAAAAACACTCGGTATAATATCAGGATTAACACTATCTCAAACACAGGCTCATATCTTACATCTAGCTCCTGTTTTTCGAGGTCTTCTGCAATTTTGGAGAAGTCGACGTCGGCCATTGTTTACAACTTGCGAGAGAGGGATACG